ACTCGAGGCTTCACGAACGGACACGATCTTTCTAGAATCTCATGACGTGTCACTAGGTCACGTGACTTCCGCTGTCGTAACAATATGTTGATATCGAAACAAGTGTAGTGTGTGCTGTTCGTTCATCTTTACCGTCAACAAGTCACAGACACCTACTGTATAAGAATCCACAAACACAAAACCAAACTTTAACTTCTAGTACCAGAAAATAATATCAGATTATTAGAGCATATTCAGCAATATTATTTACCCAAACGGTTATACTGCATCTAGATAACATCACCGTGAACCTAACGTAAATATTAGTCATAAACATGCTTTAATCTTTGTCTCGGACTGATATCACAGTGGTCATTCATGACAGTTTATGCTTGATTGTAAAGCTTCTATATTGTCTCTCTCCAGGGAGTGGACTTACAACACTAGAAATTGGGTTTCGATACCCGTGGTGGACAGAGCACAGATAACCCATTGTGTAGCTTTGTGCTTAACTTCAAACAAACAAACTCTGTAGGTCATACCCAAGAGAAGTGGTGGTTCAGAAGTATATATAAGTTAATCTTCCCTTGAATATGTTTAATGGGAAGTTACTACAGTTACTACATTTAATAGAAAAAAATTAGTTCACTTAAGTTTGATTTAACGCATTTTTCTAAGTTGGACTAGCCAAAGTTCGCCAATCGTCCCTGAGGCGGTTACCATGGTGATCACCATCTATGTCATCCTAAATAATGTGAATGCGTCACACTTGTTTGGGAATAGTGCCTGAAGAGAAGTATTTTCTTACAACAATGTGACACCCAAGAATATCGGTTTACTGTGCTTTATAGTGTGTAAACGTTAGTGTACCTTGTGCTGTTACAGTTTTACTATAGTGTGTAAACATTAGTATAACTTGTGCTGTTATTGTGCTTAATAATGTGTAAACATTAGGATAAATTGTGCTTTTACTGTGTTTTATAGGGTGTAAACATTAGTATAACCTGTGCTGTTACTTTGCTTTATAGTGTGTAAACTTTAGTAGAACTTGTGCTGTTACTATGCTTTATAGTGTGTAAACTTTAGTAGAACTTGTGCTGTTACTATGCTTTATAGTTTGTAAACAGTAGGATAATTTGTGCTCTTACCGTGTTTTATAGTGTGTAAACATTAGGATAAATGGGGTGAAAGTAAATCGTACGGTACGATACGGCGTACCGGTAAGTATTTTATAATCCATACCTTTATCTACAAATCATTTTGTCAAGGTCATTTTATGTTTTGATATATGATAATTGTCTTTCAGCACAAAATATACTAATGTATACACACTATAAAGCACAGTGACAGCACAAGTTATACTACTGTTTACACACTAATGCACAGTAACAGCACCAGTTATACTAATGTTTACACACTATAATAAAGCACAGTAACAGTACAAGTTATGCTAATATTTTCACGGCAACAGCACAAGTTATTCTAATGTTTACACACTATAAAGCACAGCAACAGCACAAGTTATTCTAATGTTTACACACTATAAAGCACAGTAACAGCACAAGTAATGACGTGAGTAATAATCAAAAGGAAACCACGCGATGTTATTATAAATTTTGTAATCAGTTATAAATATCATAGAACACTGTAGAGCAACAAAATATCATACAAAATACAGAAATATATAAGGCTACTATATCCACACACAAACTATATACGAGTTTGAAAGTATATCTAAATAATTCCATTAATAGTTTGGTTGCTTGTGTTTTTTCTTTGTTTTCGTGAAACTAAACAGAAATCCTGTTTTTAAAATATCCAAATACATTTTGTGGATGTGATACCAACTAATTAATAACCTTAAAGTGTCACTTAACCAAGTGTTTGTACAATTAGATTCTAACAATACGAAAAAGTAGTAAATAGTTTTGGGGTTCAAATTTATGAAAGGAAAAATATTTTAAAATACTAATGCAGTGATTTACATAGAATAGCTTTGATATAAACAAACCTGTTTGTTTTTTTTTAGTTTCGTTTTTACATTACAATGCGATAAAGGTTGAGCATATTTACTCTTTCCTAAAAGTCTAGTTTTACATTTATAAAAATGTTACTTTTCATTTAAATTATCTTACCATTAAAATCGAAAACTTGGAAGTTCTGTGAATGATAATTTATTTGTTGCTGAATATTGTAGTTTCGTGTTGAGATAGTAAAGCGATTCCTTTTTTTTAGTGAAATAAATATTTAAGTTTGTTTGGTAAAGTAATGAAAGACAAAATATCAAAAAATTATTTAAAATATTTCACAAAAGGTTATTTTTCCATGAAGTTTGGTTTCATTATAATTTTTTGTAATCAGTAGGAACATTTTTAATAATTGCTGCAGAAGTAACAGTCAGTTTCAGGCGAATTCAGTTGTACCTGAAAGTTATATAAATAAGGACAGGAAATACGGAAGGATATACTTAACTGATTTTGTATTATCGACTGATAAGAACATTATACAAAAAATCCAAACTCTGTTTTCATTTCAGCAATGTATATAATTGTGTACTGTATGGAAGTATTAGTGCAGCTGATGTAATTATCACAGAGTATTATTTCTCTAGATATAATTACTACCAAGTAACATTCTTCTATTCAAAATTACAACAGAGTATCATTCCTTTATAATAACTAGTACAGAGTATCATCCCTCTATAATAACTAGTACAGTGTGTTATTCCTCTATAATAACTAGTACAGTGTGTTATTCCTCTATAATAACTAGTACAGAGTATCATTCTTCTATATAATTATTACAGGGTGTTATTCCTCTATAATAACTAGTACAGAGTATCATTCCTCTATAATAACTAGTACAGAGTATCATTCCTCTATAATAACTAGTACAGAGTATCATTCCTCTATAATAACTAGTACAGAGTATCATTCCTCTATAATAACTAGTAAAGAGTATCATTCCTCTATAATAACTAGTACAGAGTATCACTCCTCTATAATAACTAGTACAGAGTATCATTCCTCTATAATAACTAGTACAGGGTACCATTCTTCTGTATAATTATTACAGGGTGTTACTCCTCTATAATAACAAGTACAGAGTATCACTCCTTTATAATAACTAGTACAGAGTATTACTCCTCTATAATAACTAGTACAGAGTATCATTCCTCTATAATAACTAGTACAGAGTATCACTCCTCTATATTAACTAGTACAGAGTATCATTCCTCTATAATAACTAGTACAGAGTATCATTCTTCTATAATAACTAGTACAGAGTATCATTCTTCTATAATAACTAGTACAGAGTATCATTCCTCTATAATAACTAGTACAAAGTATCATTCCTCTATAATAACTAGTACAAAGTATCATTCCTCTATAATAACTAGTACAGAGTATCATTCTTCTATATAATTATTACAGGGTGTTATTTCTCTAGATGCATGTTTCTTATTATTATTCTCGTCCTGTATAAGAGACCAATCGTCTATAGCAACCAATACATTTACATACTTATACCTCCAAGATAGTATCTGTAATTCTTGGCTTGGTATCAAAAACAATATAACAACTGTACCACATAGACTGTTCTTTCAAGTAAGATGTTAAATATGGAATTCGTCTCTCCTACATTTTTTAAATATACAATTGTGGGTCTTGAATATACAGTTTATGTGGTAACAACTCATACTGATTCAAACTTCTAGCATGATTAGTCAGTCTAACAGAGAGTAATATAAATAATAATGAAAAACAAGTAATACACCTCACACACCTTTACATGTATAGACAGACTTACAGTATTACAGCATAAACAAGAAACAAGTGTTACACTTGACATACCTGCTTACGGAATAGGTACGTAAGTTGTTTATGTTACATACTGTAAGACTGTCAAAACACGGATTTTGACAGTCCTACAGTATGTAACATAAACAACTTACGTACCTATTCCGTGTTTTGACAGTCTTACAGTATGAAACATAAACACCTCATATACCCTTACAGGTATGATTAGCTTTACACTTTGTAGCATAAACAACAAGCAATTGTGATATCTAAAATTACCTTTGTGTGTTTAATTAGTTGTATAGTATGTAACCAGCAAACAAGTAACACCTCACATACATTGGTGTAGTTAGTCAGTCTTACAGTATGTCACAAAACAACAAAAAAGTATTGCACTTCATATATCTTTTAGTGATGAATCAAGCTGCTAGCGTGTAAAATAAAGAAACAAAAAAATGTTAAGCCTAACACACCTTTATGTATTTAGTCAACCTTTTAGTTTTCACATAACTTTACATGTTTAGTTATTCTTATAGTAGGTAACATAAACAACAAAAGAATATTACACCTCATACACATACATTTCTGTGCTTAGTCAATTTCACATTATGTAACATTAACAACGAACAAGAATTACAATTCACGTGTCTTTGCGTATTTAGTTATTATTACATTGTGTAGCAAAAACGTAAGTGTTACACCTAACACAAATGTTACACACTACTTACCTTTGCGTGTGTAAGAAAGTAAATAAAAAGCGTATCAATTAACAATCCTTTGCATGTTTAATCAGCATCAGAGTATGTAACGTAAATAATAAATAACTATTGCACATTATATACGTTAGCATGTTTAATTATAACATAAACAACCAAGTAGTGTACCTCACGTGGCTTTGCATGTTTAGAGTCTTGTAATATGTAACGTAAGAAATAAATAACTATCACACATTATATATATACCTTAGCATGTTTAATTATAACATAAACAACCAAGTAGTGTACCTCACGTGGCTTTGCATGTTTAGAGTCTTGTAATATGTAACGTAAGAAATAAATAACTATCACACATTATATATATATACCTTAGCATGTTTAATTATAACATAAACAACCAAGTAGTGTATCTTACGTGGCTTTGCATGTTTAAAGTCCTGAAGTATGTAACGTAAACAAATTACACGTTTAACATTTCACATACCTTCTACTGCTTCTTTTTCTGTTTTGCAGATACAATTTTGGCTCACAAACCGCAGTGTTTATTGTATGGGACCTTTCTCTTTTATGTGCAATCAATAAATAACGAGTTTTACTTTAAAGAAATAAAAGAAAATCGAAATATGTGGATGAATTCTAATTCTCAAAAATAGAAGATTTGGCGTACATGTCTTAGAAGTGACAAAACAGTTAAATTGTTAGTTTTATTGTTAACTCTCTGTCTCTCCGCCCATTCATTGAGAGTTTTATCGACCAACTTATCTAACTCTGGGTATATTGCGTTTGCATTTAGCCTTATACAGTCAATAAAGCTTGTATATAGAAAACCTGTTTTACCTCCCACCGAAACGTTTTAAGAAAACTGTATGGTTTGTTCTCATCTTTAACCTTTCCTAGCAAGATTGTCAGGTGTTCCACAAATAAAGGATTGGTAAACTCGGCAACATCATATCTCTGAAGGTTTGCAGAAAATGGTCCTAGACCTAAATCGGCTTCCTGAAAGAGAGGTTGTAACTGTCAGAACATGCATCTGCTCTTTATATTATGTTTTATTATGAACTTAGTTGAAAATATAAACCTAACTACACCTATTGTTACTTTACCAATATGTTTATTTGAATATAAATTTATGTAAAATTATTCCTTTACAAACTTTATGAGATTTTATAAAAAATAAACACTATAAATCAAAAGTGGAAACAGTTCTCATGAAATGGGTTGAGAATTAAAATGAAGTTTTTTTTACCCCTCTGTGGAGCATCCCCACCATTCCACTCCAGGTTCCGTTTTCAATAACACCCCACTTTCGATCGGAAGCCGTCACGAGGGTGTAACTGTAAGAGTAAAAAGCATTAAAGTATACGAGATTTTGCGTCCCAGTGGCTCAGATTTAAATCTGAACAATTATAACGCTAAAAGTCGGGTATCGATACTCGCGGTGGTCACAGCTCAAGTAGGCCATTATGTAGCTTTGCGCATAACAACAAATAAATAAATAATACAAGAGCTTATAGTGTATTCAAATTATCTAAATTCTTTGGTTTTTTTTTAAGTGAACTCGGGTAGACATCATCTGGCAAGGATTTTCCATAAGTTTTGTCTGGAGTTTTGAGTCACAGTTAACGTTTAGCTCATTAGTTCTTCTTTAGCTTAATTTCACTTTGATTAACGGGACTGTTACTTGACTCTGTTATCGTTGATCAAGCGACAATTGTTTGCATATACGAGTATTTTTAAAAATGATAAACTGAGCGCTTGAAATTTCCACTTATACACAAATCAGACTTACAGTAACACAAATCCTTGCATTGGTATTATATATCGGACACGAAATGAGCAAACTCATTGTCCTAATCTCTCTCTAACTTATACATAATTTTCACAGACTTACACCTATTCGAGAAACACTCTTCCAACCTTCGATAACATAAAAATACTAAATACAACCATTTAAATAAGAATTCCTTACTAATTTATAATATTTGGAGCTCTCAGAAAGAAATCCATTAACGCACAAAAAATGATTAAACGTATTGCACAAAAGTGTTGGTTTAAATAGCGTTCGTTTAAATTTAGATATTTTTATCGCATTATTTTTAACTTATTCCACTATAGATTTCAAATCTTCCTGTTATCACTGACTAGGTGGCTATCTGATTAGTAGTAGTGCTAGTCAGCCTAAAGACTTTCTGTAATGCTATTTGTTTGCAGTAGAATAAACTGAAGACTGTAGCGTGAATCACTGGGACTGACAAGCCAATGAGGCTATTTGAGACAAGGAAAGCAACGAAATTCACATTTCACTGAAAATATATTTTATCATATAGCTTCAGCCCAGCTGATAACATGTGATATTGCTGGGCAATAATCTGTGGTCCTCCAGTATCCCAGTGGTAAGTCTGTGAACTTATAACACTAAAAACCGGGTTTCGATACCCGTTGTAGGCACAACATCGGTAGTGCATTGTGTAGCTTTGTGCTTAAAAGACAAACAAACAAATATTGATTTGTGGTAAGATTACAGAGGAACAGTGGCGGCGCCAGACTTTTCTCAATGGGGAATTTTCACATTTTAACCAAATATTATAATCACAAGTTGATAAAAGTATTATTTTGCAAAGCATATAATATTTTTAGTCGTTTGTAATTAAGCACAAAGCTACACAATGGGCTATCTGTACTCTTCCCACCACGGGTATCGAAACCCGGATTCTAGCGTTGTAAGTCCGCAGACATACCGCTGTGCCACTGGGGGACTGTTTTATTCATTAATACACAAATACAAAACATTTAATATTATTTGGTTTTATTTGCACAAATACAAATTGTCAACAGAAATCACTGAAACTGTAACGACAAGATCCATAATATCAAATGGAATACATGCATAATTACATATTGTTTATTTTGGGCATTTAAATAAAATGATCAAAATATCAATCATACCTCAGTTATCACTATGTAACCTATTTTGCTACAATGCATAATTATCGGCACTTATGTTGGAACGAATGTGCTTTCTTATCTGAGATTACCAATATAATATTAACTGATGATACTGATCTCAATTTCTGAAACAATAAGACGAGTGCTAAGACTTACCAGTAATTACACGTACATATAATAATAAATTATATGCATTAATACATGCAAAATTAAAGATAGCAATATTTTTATCATCAGGATAATACAACTATAGACCATAAAATATTATAATTTATCTAAAAATATAAATCACATGAAAACAAATTATTCGATAAGTTTAATAATAAATTTTTCACAATTTTATATAATGAAACTTAAATTTCCTCAGTTTTCCTGCTCGTAAAGTTAGAAACTACAAGTGAGAATAGATCATAAAGTGTTTGTGCAGCACTTATGCAGTTTGTTCGTTTTAATACCAATGTAATGCGCATGCTTGGAAATTTGGCCACCATTCTGTCCAAAACGTCATCAAGATCGATGTCTAATGCCCTCTGTCTGTGAACACTCAAGATTGCAAGACTTTTAAGACGGCGATCTTCCATTGTTGTGCGAAGTGGTCTTTTTATAAGCTTCAGTTTGCTGAAGGTCCTTTCACACCCAGCAGTGCTCACAGAAAGGGTTATGGCAATCTGCAGACCCTGGAACAACTCTGTGAAAGTCATGTACAGCAGTTTCAAATATTCAACAAATTCAATTATTGAGTCAAATCTTGTATTATTCCTTTCTATCATTTGCTTTGCTTGCTTCAACTCCATAAGCAAATCTTCCAAGTTCAGTTTATAATGTTCTGTCAGTGGTTTAAGTAACTCACCATAAAGAAAATGTTTTGAGAATGGATCCAACTCTAATAGTGAACGAAATTTGTCTAAATTGTGGCTGCAGAAACGCCTTTAAAGTTCAGTTAGAAACCTGTCAACTGTTGAAACCAGTATTAGAGTCTTAAATCAGACGAATGCTGAACTGTATTACGCTTTCTAAGAGAAGACAATATTACAAAAATTTCATGTGGCTTGGTTTACTCTTTTGTGGTCTGTGGCTAGAAATATTTTCGGGGTCTGAGTATGGTAGGTCATTTCTTTTGGCAGTATTCTGTGACATATGATAATCGCCAGCTTTTGTGTCATTTCTGTACAACTGTATTTCTTCCATTAATGTCTCGATCATATCTGTACAACTGTATTTCTTCGATTAATGTCTCGATCATTTCTGTACAACTGTATTTCTTCCATTAATGTCTCGATTATATCTGTACAACTGTACTTCTTCCATTAATGTCTCGATCATATCTGTACAACTGTATTTCTTCCATTAATGTCTCGATCATTCCTGTACAACTGTATTTCTTCCATTAATGTCTCGATTATATCTGTACAACTGTACTTCTTCCATTAATGTCT